TGCCTTGTACTCATTTGAATTGTCTCTTTCTCTTTCTAAACTATCCTATTTATCTTTGCCTTTCTTGATTTCAGCACAATGCTTAGCTTAAATATATATGCTCAATAAGTAAGTTTTGAGTCAAGGTCAACAATTCAGAATGTGCTACATAATAATGTTTTCCAATCTTTCGGACAGCAGACAACATGTGAATTTTCACAGGGAAATAAGGCCTGTTGAAATAATTTCAAGAAGGGAGACTAATAATGGAAACTTTTAGGAAAAAAATGATAACTCAGTAGGCAGCTGTCTGCTGCAGCCTGGTGAATAATTCTTCTTATGGCAAGCTGTTCAGGGAAACCTACCTACTCTCAATCTATGGCTTGAATTTTGCTTTGTGTGATATTTGTTACTATAAGCTGTCTTTGTGTATTTCCTACTTTTATCCTTCCATGACTACAACAACAATTTTAGTTTGAAAAATATTTGTTTTCATTGCTATTACTGCACTATTTTTTTCAATTGGCTTCATTTCCTGCTCTTACTTCTTTTCTTGTGAAGATATTCTTTAAAATTGTCTTTCTCTTTATAATGGCTTCTTGTCTAGTGTTTTTGTATTTAACCGAATATCCATTAACTTAACTTTGTAAAAATATCATGTATTATTTAATCTAAAACAATTTTTGATATGATGCACAATTGCTTGAAAATGAAGATGCTGCCAACTATATTTGCAAACAATAATTGAAAGATTTATTCTCATTTCAATGATGTTAAAATATGAAAAGTTTTATTTTAATTCATAAAATATAGGAAAATCATTATCACAGCTTTACATAAACTTCTGGTCATATATTTGGATGAGGTTATTGAATTATTTTAAGGTAATTTAGAAAGAGGAACATGCTATAATTGTGTATTTAATGTAGGACAATAGTACTGTGTGTTTTTTTTTCTAAGAACATTTTAAGAGTTTTAGAAAATGTTCAGCCAGAATGAAACTTCCTGTAGCAAGGATATTTATCTCTATTGTGTGTCCAAATCATTTAGAAGGTCCTCAATGAGTACTTGTCAAATGATTTTATGAGTGAATGCATGTTTCACAAGTGATGCCATGTATCTGTTCTGAGCTCATCCAAATTAGGCAAATAAGAATTAGTGATCAGTAAGTTCCTTCAAATACTAGTTTGTCTTTCTTGGATATCTTGTACTTCTTACAACATAGCTTCTCATACTTTTTAATTCCTTTTTGACAACTTTGTATTTTATTTTTGTAAGTACTTGGATTATATTAATAACTCAATGATGTTTCTAATAGCCGTTTTTGCAAATTATCATGAAAAAAATTGAATGACATAATTGTCTACCTATACTAGTACAACTCAAGAAGCTAAATGAAAAAAATAATCCTTAAATGATTTTCAGTAATATCAGTCAGCAAATTATGGAAGCAAAGGGACTAACAGAAACACCAAGCTATAAGCATCTGTATACATTTCTAAAAAAAATTTCTGTGGCTTTAGTTATGGCCTAAAATAAAGTTATCTAAGTGTGACATCATTCTAAGTCACCAATCTAACAACATGCAACCTCATATCTCAATAGTCACACTGTATTTTATTTAAATGAAACTTGAGTTCATTTTGATTCAGAAGACATGGCCTCTGTAAGTGGGATCTCTAAGCTTAAAATCTAACTCCAACTTTTGTTAGCGATAAGGACATGGAAACTTAGTTAACTCTTCTTTGTCCTTTTCAAATCTGTCTAATTATTGTATCTCTTGTAAGGTTGTATAAGGACATACCATTTATCAGTTCCTATCAAATGTAGGTGCTGATGCTGGTGTTTCCCTGTTTCCCTTCCAGACCCACTCTGCATCCTGTGAGGCAAGCCTTCATAGTCTTCACGACTTGGGTTCTTTTGCCTTCTGACTTCCAGTTACTTTTGTAAGTGGAGAAAATGGAAAAAGATGGAAAGGCAGGACAAGTGAGACTGGAATATCCTCTATTCCAGTTTCTTTCTCTCTTTTTGTGGTTTTGACAGTGATTCTGCTTCTCCATTCTCCTCCTGTACCAATGTTCACAGCTAACATGAGTGGTCTCTTTACCTTGACTCTGGTCATTGCCAAGTCTGGTAATGCTGCTTTTACTGCAGGGCCCATCAGTCTTCATGGAACTCAGGCTTCCTGTGCACCTGGTCCATGGTGTTTCAACAGCCCTTGTTGATTCCTTTAACCATATTTACATTTCTGTTAATAATTCTTTTATTTATGATTCTCCTTAATGAACTGTTTGAATATACCAGTTATTTGTTCCTAAGGTCACAAGCAATATAGTGTTGAATGATTTGGCTTAAGACATATATTAGATTATTTCTGTCAAGTCAAGGAAAAGTCATTAATAATAATAAGATCAAGGTTTCAAAACTTAGGTGAGGGAAATCAATTTTATCAATAACTAAATAACTGATAGCATAAATTTCCTAAGTAATAAAACAGGGATGGGTGGAGCTGAGACTAGAATACACTTATCATAGCACAAATGCTTAGAGACCTTCTCTAGGGGATTTACACATGGGCCTTTCTCTTTCTTTCTTTTGAAAAGTGTTGAAGATCAGTCTTTGGACTAAAAGAAAGTAGTGATTAGGTGGTCAGATCAAGTCAATATAACTAATTCCAGTTCCGGGGTAATAGAGTAAAACCTCAAGATTGTAGTTGCTGGGTGAGTTGAGGGAAAGAAGCTTGCATGAACATAAAACAGAGTTAGAACTGTAGAGGTGTATTTAGGGATGAGTATGAACAGTATCGTTTTCCATTCTGGTAAAAGAATCAGAAAGTATCCAAGATTATTAAATACAATGTCTGTATATTGTAAAAATATAATAAATGTGACAACCTTTCACTCAACGATACATCCATTGCAGAAGATTTGTGCAAAACAGAGTGAAGTTTCCATAGGTTCCCTCACTAACCATATTCAACATTTCTGCATGGCTGAGCTTGCAGGAAACAGAGACCATTATGAGGCATGAAGGTGAACCTGGGGTATGGAGGCATTAACACTGTGGGAAGCAATACCATTTCATGAACAAAATATCAATCATTTTGTTCAGCTTGGAAATGAATTTAAAATAATGGGCCTTATGGAGCTTTCCCAGTAAAACTCATTTTTGCCTCACTCTGAGTTAAACATTTCCAATTCTCAAGTCAAATAAAAGCCTATCCATACCTCAGTTCTCACTTTTCACAGTAGAAGTGGAGAGAGATAATGTTGCATTGAGGGAGAAGTTAAGAGGTCTGCAGTCAAGGCTTTCTGGATTTGAATTCTAGCTCTGGTCTTCCTTCCTATCTTTGTAACCTTACTCATTATTGTTTTCCAACTTCTGGATCACTCAGTTTATTCTTTCATATTCTGGGGATTAAGGTAATCTCAGTTTATTTGGGAATACTGTGAGGACTGATGAGATGACGTTCATAAAGGACTCAGTAGGGTGATGGATACCCTTTAAGTACTTCATAAACCTGAGCCATTTTGTTTAATGTAAGGATAGAATCTATGTATCATTTACCTTGTAAATCCATTGTCAAATCACATAGTTAGTTCTAAGTAAATATTTGCCTAACAATAGAATGTTAGCTTGCCTTAAAACCTTGTTTCTTCAAAGAAAACAAAGAATTACATTATCTTTTATTGTAGCTGTCACTGGTGTTTCCATAATAGTCACTAGAAAAGAGACAATAGTTTTCTGCACTTTAATGTCTGTGCATATCTATACTCTTAGGTACATACAGAAGCACTTTCACATTAAGCTGCAAACTACTCATAAAGTATTATCAAAAAAATGAAACCATTATTAAAACAACTAGGAATAAAGTACAAGAAGCCAAAAAGAGGGACCAGCCAACTCACTTTAGTTTCCTTTTTCAGAGAAAATGCACAGATACTTTTTGTGAAAAATGAAAATATGTTTAGATCTATTTCATTTATATCAAACAAGATATAAAGGGCAACCATTGGTTACCACCTTGATGAACATCTAAGTATCATCAACACATCAAAAAGACTGCTTTTCCCATTTAGTAATTCCTCAGTTAATTTAGCTTATCTGGGATCCTTTTCAAATTTAAAAGCAAATTGCCTTTTGTAAGGAAAAATAAAGTTAGCTGCTATGGACTATTAAGTTTTAAAACATACTCTAAGGCAGCACAAGTTTAAACATGTTGGAATAGCAGGGAAGAGTGCATATCTTCATGTTTTATGGCTATTTGTACAGTAGTCATTTGAGTATTTTACTGCTTAACATGAATGTTCCTATTATTGTTTATCATTATTAGTAGAGAAAATAATAATTCATAAAATAATGACAATAGTTTGCATTTATTGAGTTTCAATAAGTAAATGGAATTGTAACAAATATTTCACAAGTATAATCTTATTTACAGAATCACTACATGGTAAGATCCATAAAGACAGAGTCATATCTGCCTATTTTATTTGCTAATAGTCTCAGTAATCAACACTAAGCTTAGAAAACAGTTGGTACTCAATAAATATCTATTAAACATTGAATATCTTTCCTTTGATCTAGGTTCTTGTTAGAAGAGTACTGCCTTAGTCTAAGAATATTTTATTATTACTAAATGTACTGAATGTACCAAATGTATCAAGTTTATTTGTCACTGTTTTTCATTTGTGCGTGCTATAGTTTCAGTGAGAAATATGCTGGAGGGATGCCTCTACTTCATAGTCTGTAGAAAGCTGTAGGAGGATGGAAATGAGACTTAAAATGTTAAGGGAGCTTCTGAAAACAGCACCACAATTTTAAAAAAAGCCAGTAGAAATCTGATCCTGCTCCATCTAAATCGAAGGCTAAAAAATGTGGACATCAAAACTATCTTAGAAAACATAGTCAGGATTTGCAAAAAGCTCTTTTTAAATTATGGCATCAGTTAATAAGACATAAAGGAATGAAGGATAAAGGAACCTCTAGAAACCCATAGTGCAAGGCTCAGATGGACTTACCAGAACAGTCACCACACGTAGAACTACTCCACGCATGTTATTCTCCAGTTTCTTGTCAGTCAGTGACCCATTCAGACCTGTGACAGGATTCCAGCACCCAAGCTGAAAGGTAAGAGAATTTTGGTCACGTTTTTGCTAAAGAACAGTCCAGTGACCTCTGCACAGACCTTCCAGAGAACTGTGTAATAGCTCATGGAATAATTGGTACAGAAAGGGTCCCACACAGATTTTCTTTTTTAATAGCAAATGAGGCAGTCAGAAATGCCATTTCCTGCTTTTAAATATCATCATATGGCATATGACAGAGCCCAACATGCTTTAGGAAATCCAATGAGGACATTTGACTTAATGAGGAGTTATATACACCAATAACTCAGTCACAGTAATGCACTAATTGGAAAAATAATAGTGCATGTAATTCTAGCATAATGTCTACTCTAATATATCAATTACTGCACAAGTTAAATTTTCTTATAGCTTTAATGTTTTAATTTGATCCCACACTGCTTTTACCGGGGAAAAGAATGATTAAAATATTTTAATGTGGTTAGAGGAACAACTGCCTTTACAGAAGGAAAAAAATATGCATGCAGATTTGTTGTTTTCAAAGAATTCACAGTACATAAAACAACGTAATTTGTCAGTGCTATCAATTTGCTTGGAATATTTTGGCAGCAGTCTTTCCCTTAAAGCCTTGCCAGGCTTCAACACTTCACTGTCTAAAGTAGTGGCAGAATTTTATGCCCTTACTTAGTTCTTATCTCTCTTTATATCCAAATCTAAAGGTAACCAGTTTAAAATGAGTGCCCTCAAATTTCAGTGGGATAAAAAGTGATGAGTCTGAATCAGAAATAAAGGAAAGGAAAGATGGTGTGACTTGGGTTAACACATAACCATTCAAGGAGCAAAACTGCCAAGAGAGTATTGTAGAATACATTTTGTGAAGGAAAATGTGCTATAAACCTTGGTGCCAATTCCATGAGCTTCCACATTGGCAATCATTGTGTATGTGCACAGTTTAAAAATGTGTCAGAGCTTTAGTCATATTTCATATTTGGAGGCTATTTTGAGTAACTAAATTATTATAATGACACCTGGTTGTTTGTGCCTGTTCCTCCTGATATCTGTGATTTATTTCATTAAATGACATTTATTTTGTGACTCCCGAAGTCATCAACCCATTGGGAAGTCTCTCTCCTACAAACAAGTGATTTAGGTGCTTCCCATTAAAACTCAAGTTTCCATGTGATTTCCCTCAAAAGTGTTCAATTTAGAAAACTAACATGTTCATAATACATTAAAAGGAGCTGTCACAATATCAACAAGAAAGCCAGGTTTTTCTCTTATTAAAATAATTTGGAAAAGGCTGCTAATTGTTGGTTTCAACTGTAAAAGCACATTAAATTCATGCAATAATATGTCATTCTTAGTTACATAAAAAGTCTAATTAGAACTTAGATCCAATTAGCAAATTCAAATGTGATGAAAGTCTAATTATCAGAGATTGTAGTCCTCTTGCCAAATTTAAAACCTCATGAAATCTTCTGAGATTTTGTTCTTTTCTGAGGTCAACCAAAGTCTATCCTCAATTATATTCCTTGAGATACACTTTTTCTAACTACTTCAAGAGGAGTTTATGTTCCTAGACCAAATAATATTGGTGAAAAAAATGACATTAATGACATCCAGTGAAGACCTAAATTTCCATTGTGCTATATTACTGAATTATAAGCTTAATAAATATCTTTTTAGGACAGAATCTTATTCATGATTATTTTGTCTAAGATGAAAGAGCAAAGAAAGCAAACACAGGGATTGGAGTTATTTTTTAAAGTTTGATGAACCTATTGTCAATTTCTCTAAATAATTGACACCTACCAGCACCAACTTGACCATGGCATTTTGATATACTGAGGAGTCAAAATATTTACTGCTGGATTAGCAATGAAACTGGCAGAGTACTATGTTTCAACAGTGTTCTGAAGAGGCACTTAAAATATTTAATTACTAGCTTTTTTTTCGAAGTCATGCCTTACTATAAATATAGCTAAATATTGTCAACAGCTTATAAATTCTAAATCTCTCTGGCATTCACGAATTTAAAATAACAACAAAAAAGGATTTGGAGCAGGTAGAGTAGGAGGAACTTGAACATTGTTTGTGTTGCTATGATATTTCTTCCATTTTCATTTTTGTTTTTGCTGAGATACATCCCCAGTGTTCTCATTTTCATTTTTGTATTTTTATATTGGGTCAGATTCTTTCTCACGTTATGAGGCAACAGTTCTTTCCTATATGATGATTTTTCACATTTCTGTAATCCTTTTATTTGTACTTTTATTTATTTATTTGTTTGTTTATTTTGTAGCACTTGGAAGGTTGTTCTGTCTTTTAACAGCAACAGTATGGATTTTAGGACTGGTAAATTCCTTGTACCTGAGTTCTCCCCTCCTCACCATCAAGTGACATGCTTCCTAAATATTAGCAGTGGATATCAAGAACTAAGATGCTTAAGGACTGGATTGTAGGGTACAGAATGCTTAGGATACAGATTCTCTGGAAAGCTAGAATAAAGTATGTCCACTCATATCACAATGGGGTGTAACATATCATTAAGAATTTAAAACAATACTGATTTTCAATATTGAATTCTACTGAAAATGTTTTATATACTTTCTATGTGTCTGCTATACACTGAGTCATTATATGTTATGTTTATATATTTAAGCCTCACAATAACTTCAGGAGAAGGTCCTACTACCATTATTATTTTACAGGCAAGGGAAGTAAGGTCTAAATTAAGGTCACATATCTACAAAGAGAAAAAATTAGGATTTAAACTAGTTCTGCTTAAAGCCCAGATTTATTTTTCTAAGGCAGTTTTGATTTATACCTTATGAATCCTTTTCATAGATACGATTGAGTTAAGATAGTAAGGAAGAGATTTCTATTTTATAGTGAAGGAGATTGAGACTCAGAATTGTTAATGCCTACTGAATTCACATTTCAACAATAGAATTGAAGAGGATAAAATCACCATCACTGTCATTATCATCTTATGACAATTGCTCCAACAACTACATACCATATATCATGTGCCAGTTATCAAAGGGCACTACTTATATTATCTCCCTTAATTCTCAAAACAACACTTTGAGGAAGGCACCATTCTTATCTTCATTTTACAGAAGTGGAGACTAAAGATTGAAAGGTGGTGTTCTTTCTACTGTGTTATCATTTGCCAACATACATAATCAAGAGGGTTTGGATAAAGGAAATTGATGGGAAAATGAAGTGGACATGAGAAACTCAAAAAATGTTTTTGGAACTCTGTTTTGTGGGAGTCAATTTTACTAAAAATAAACGTCAACCACATTTCATTTATCCTAAGGCCTTAAGTTCTTTCTCAAAATGTATAACAAAGATGAATGAGGAAATAAACAATAGCAACACTCTAGGGGACGTGGTGATTATCCCCATCCTTTTGAAGAATTTCTCAAGTGTTAAGATCCCTTAATTTCTGTTCATACCCACTCATCTCCTTGACATTCACTTCAAGATTTTTGTTTGATTGTCATAACTCCTTTCAACAATAAGCAATAAAAATGAGTTAGGTTCACATAGATTCAAATTGAATTAGTATCTACAACAGCTAATGTTCCTTGCAGCATAGTAAGACTGACAGGTACAGTGTTTATGCAAACCTAGAAGAATTTCACTTAAGTTCAAGCATGATGAGGCTTATCTAACAACTTCTCTGATTTCATTGTTTGAAATCTCATTAACTTGACTTCTCTGGCTGTATGAAGAAGGCTGGGTTTTGTTTGGTTGTATTTTTGCTTTTTCTAGTTTTTTAACAATGAAACCAAAAACTGATAAGGATAATTCACACACAATCTCATACTATCTATTCAGCAGAGTTCTTTTTATATAGAAAATAATAAAAGTAGCCCCTGCAGCACATAAAATTTACAGAAAGTCCCACTGCTGATGGCAAAACAAGATTTACTTTCTTTCATGGCCTGGAAGTCTAGAGAACATTTAGAAAAGTTAAAGAAATAAGGAGAAATTCTATATTATTTCAATTGCAGTATATAGATTTCCTATAATATTTTCTGGTTAGTGCCTAAAGTCATTTTAAAACCTTTAAAATGCTTATTGCTGTAATTATTTCCTTCATTGGAACTTTGGCGATAATAATCTCGTAACTTTCTTTTAAAATCAATGTAATATCCTGTGTTCAACAAACTGGTTGATGTATTTGCATGCACACAGGAACATGCTCTGAACACTATGTATACTAATGATCAAATTTTATATATTGACTCTTGTCTCCTCAATGTTTTCACTTTTCATTTGCCATAGGCTGTAAGGGATGACTTGACTCTGGAGGTTTACATCACTATTTTTCAGGCAGTGTTAGATGTCAAAAACAGCTGAGCTGCTCAACTTTAATTTTATGCTCAATAGTTTGTAGACTTTAATAACAGGAGTCAAGAGAGTTCTTAACTGAATATGGAATGCAATGCTCAGACTTTATTAGCTTTGTACTCATGGAACAAACGAAATTTGGTTACACTACCAAAGCTCCAGCTTTAGGACACAAAATATCCACTGCACAGAGTGCTGTGTGCTACCAGCCACTATGTCTCATTTACTTACTTCCTCAGCCTTCAAACCAAAAGAGAAACAACAAGGTATGGGCAAATCAGCTTGAAAGTTAGCTATTTGGAAATGTGTAACATTTATTGGATAAATACTACTTCTGTAATGGGATAGAATGTGTAAGAAAAAATACACACAGCAGGCTGACTCAGGTACATGCTTTATAAGCTAAATTGGAATGTTTTCTGCTTAGACATGCATAGGAATGCAGTGTGTCAGTAATCCTTTCAATAATAATTTCCTTTATGGTATTTTCTATTTGTAAAAGAGGTTCAATTTGTAAAAATCTTTTCCCTAGAGGATGATTATATGCGCCTAAGATTTTTATCCCTACAGTTTGGTCATTATCACGAAGTAGTGGTCCTTCTTTAGATTATGGGGAATACCTTTAGCACTTGAGTTTCCTTCAGGAGAAAATGTCTTTGAAAACCAGAGGG